GGGGAGAGACTGTTTACAGTAAAAGGATGCAGTGCCAGGAGACAGGGAATGGCTTCCCACTGCCAGAGGGAAGGGCTGGATGGGATATTGGGAATTAGGAATTGTTCCCTAGGAGGATGGGCAGACCCTGGCACAGGGTGCCCAGAGAAGCTGTGGCTGCCCCTGGATCCCTGGCAGTGCCCAAGGTCAGGCTGGACAGGGCTTGGAGCAGCCTGGGACAGTGGAAGGTGTCCCTGCCATGGCAGATGGTGGGATGGGATGACCTTTAACAGCCCTTCCAACCCAAACTGTCTGGGATTGTAGGGCCATGATTCTATAATTTTATTTCTTAGAAGGATTTTTTAAAATATATTTTATATATTTTTAGTTTCAAATGGAATAATGGAATAGAATTTCGGAGTCATTGATTTTCTTCCTACCTCCATTTTTTTGGCCTACTCAGCCCTGTCCTGTTGCCTGGTTCTGCCCTTTCCCTCTGTCCTAGGGAGTCCCTGACCATTTGGATTCATCCAGCAGCTGTAGGAGAGCCTCAGGCAGCAGCTGAGACAGACAGAAAGTGAATTGTAGCACAATGCTAAAAGTATTTATTGGGGCTTTGTAAATGGCCACAAATAGTGAGTTTGCTCTCTCTCCCCTGTCTCAGGCAGGGATCTGCACAAAGGGAGCTGCTCTGTCTGCCCAAAGGGAAGGGCTGGCAGACTCAGCAGGGCTTCAGGCCAGGCCACAAACACAATATATATACAATTGTGCTGTAAGGAAATTTTTCATGGTGATTTTCTGTGTTTTGTCTGCCTTAGTAACAGATGCCATTATTTGTTGGCAAAACCTGACATTTTACATCAGTAATGAGATGTGTAGATTGACAGACTGACTCTTGCCTTGAATTCTTCTGCTTTCCAAAGTGTATCTGGAGATGATGTTGCTGGTGTTCATTTTTAGTTTGTTTGTTCGTTGGTTACTTCTTGCTAAACTGGATGTCATTTTTTCCTTCATGTTTTAAGCTGTACCTGGGGAATCAACTCAAAGTGATGTAAGGGTTTCTCATTTAATTTCCTGCCCAGCCCAGAAAGGACCAAGGGCTTCCTGGCCCTTCTTGTGGGTGGCCTCAGCAGCAGGAACCCCCCAAAATTGCGATTTACACCAAAAGTGGGGTCAGACCCAAGGATGGCATGTGTGCATGTCATGCTGAGCAATGTGTGAGCCTTGCTCTGCACACCCAGCCATTTCAGGTGATTTTATTTGAGAAGCAGTGTGTCTCCTCAATGAGGAGGTTTAAGGACACTCTTCTGACTGAAGAAACAAGATTTGTTTTGCCATGGCTCTTTTTTATTGGTAGTTGTTTTTCTTTTGGTAAATGTGATCAGGCATTGTGCTGAAATCTCCCCACTGTCAGGCAGATGCAGATCTAGAGAATTTTGTAAGTGGTCTTGGATGTTAGAAGAATGAGGTTTATTTGGTTTATTCTCTTTTTTGTACAGCTTAGGATGGAAGTTATCTTTTTTGTGCTGTATGAATGCCAGTGTGGTGGAACTCACTGCTAATTATGGAAAATGTATTTTCTAATTTTCCTCCTGACTTGAAAGACATCACATTATTGTTATATATGAGTGGTAAACGCTTGTCTCCTTGTGTTACAGCTCAGTTTTGATTTTCAATTTCCTTTTTGCTACCTCCTAGATGTCTTTCATGTATTCTAAGGATTTTGAAGATTATGTTAATTCAGTTCACCCACAGGGTGTCTGTTGTTGGTTTGTTCTGGAAAGCCTCTTACTCTGTCTCTTGGTGTGAACAACAGCCTGGTCCTCTGGTGTCCTTGGTAAGGAGGTTTCCAAGTCACTTTTGTAACTTGCCTTTTTGAAAACAAGTCAGAAAGACTTTGTCAGTGATAATTTATTGTCACCTTCCTCTCTCTGACTGCACACCATCATCTGAGTAATCTGCATGTGCCTTTTCCCCTTTGGCTGCTGTTGGTATATCTTGCCTACACTCCCAAGCCCTCTTACAGCCCATCAAGGTAAACTCCTGCAGAAACAAACTTCTGAGAGGGCAGAAAGGTGGCTTGTTCTGGTACTGGATTTAAGAGAAAAAGCTGGGCCATGAGTTCAGTATCTTTGCTGTTCAGGGCTGGCAAACTCCTTCTCAACCCTTGGCAGGGAGAGGCTGTGTGACACCCGAAATACAAGGATTAATGTATTTTATAAATGTTAATGTTGGTATAATGATGTCAGAAGAACCATGGAAGTTCTTAGTGCCTGTCTGAATGGCTAATCCTCCTTTCAGGTCTGGCAAAGCTGTTGACCTCACTGATCCTTTAAGTCAGTGAGCAGCTTGGGCTAATTACAAGTAGTGTTAAAAATTTGCCTCCCTGAAGTTTCAATTTTCAGCTTTTGTCTTTATTATCATGTATCTTTTCTTTGTAAAATGCCTAGGAGGAGATAAACTGACCACAGCCACATTTGGTTTATAGACTGAGAAGTCCTTTATGATTTTTTTTCTTTTGGACTTACAGGATTTATAGATTTTTCTACAAAAACCCCCAAAAAAACCTTAACTGGAAGTGAGAGAGTGAGGGAGAAAGAAAGATGCCACTGAACTAGTAAGATTACCTCATTTTGTCCTTTAGAATATCATTCAGGGTTTTCCTGATAAAGAAATAGTTACAAAGGATTTTATTTGTGTCAACTTGGTATTTCTGGAAAATCTGGGGATTGTCAGAATTGCTGGTGCATTGGTAGTCATTAAAAAGTCTGGGGTTCCATGGAAATTGCTCCAGCACATTCAGCAGCAGCTGAAGATAAGTGGCAGCCAGTCTGCAGTGACACAAGGGTGAGACCTGGGCTCCTCTTGGCTGATTGAAGACATTGAGTCTAGCTTTCAACTCATTTGGTAGTTAAAAAGTCTCTTTAACTGAGGTTTGGATCAGTTGTGTCCTCAGGATCTCTCTTATCCTTTATTAATGTTAGTGTTTCATTTTCTTCTGTGAAATTTTTACTGCCTGTTAGGAGATTGTCATTGATTTCACATAAAAACAATTGGTCATCTTTGCTGACTCATTTGCAAGCAAGGAAACAGCAGCAGCAGAACACAGGGATTTTGTCCCTGAGTCACTGGTTTACTTCATTCAGTGACCTTGTGTATCTTGGCTAATGGGCACATGAGCAGGGCTTTATTGCAGTAACATTTCTTTCTGCTAGAGTGAGACAAAGAATTAGAGTAATCCATTGGAATTACATCATCCCCCAGAGCACAAAAACCAGCTGGATGTTGAGAGACAAACTCATTTCCTTACTGTGGGCATGAGAGAGGAGGAGGAAAGAGAGACAGGAGAAGATGTACAGACCTGATGGTGATTCGGGAAAGACCGTTTTGTTTGTCCTGAAAAAAAGAGTTTGTTCCCTCCAACTCCACTTGCACTTGCAGCACGTAGCAAACACTGGGGGCAGCCCTCATCAGGGGTCCAGAGCATCTCAGTCAGGTCAAAAAATCGGAGTGACCTCTAAAGATAATGAAGTTCACTCCCTTTCTCAGAGCACAGCTAATTTCAAATGCAGACTGGCTTGTTCTGGGCTTTGTCCAGCTGAGTTTTGAGTATTTCCAGGGCTGGATATTCCTCTATGGCCCTGTGCCTTTACTGGAGGGTTTTTTTCCCCCTTATGCTCAAACCACAAATTATTTTTCTACAATTAATCCCCTGCCCCAACCCGAGGGAAGTCTTTCTCCATCTGCTGGACTGGGGAGCTGAAAACAGCATTTAGAGCTCCTGTAGTTTTCTCCTCATAGTCCTTGACTTACTCCAGGCAGTTCAAGACTCTATTAATCCCTTCCTGTCACAGTTGTTGCTGTGCTGCTTTGGAAGGGCACTGAGTCCTCTGTGCTTGCCTGCTCTCACAGAGCAGTGTGGACTGCCCCTTTGGTGTGTTTGCACAAATGAACACCAGAAAACATTTATGGGAGAGAGAGATGGAGTAGAGTAGCAGGAGTGAGCTCCTGTCCAGTCAGAACATGCAGCTTGGAACTGACATGTATTTGTGCCTTTGTTATCTGCTGCCCTTTTTTTTCCCTCTCAATTCTTCCTTATCTATATTGCTTTTATCCCTTTATTTATAGATCCTTTTTTGTTGTTGTTTTGTTTTGTTCTTGTTTTGTTTTTTGAGATGTTTCCCCACTTGGAAACAGTGGGAGCTCACTGAGTGAAAGGGTGCCTTGATTTGATTTGGAAAGAGTCAATCACCTCCATCTTCATGGAGCGTGATCTGATTAGGATGATGCAGGAGTTATCACAGACATGTCTGGGTGGGGTTGAAAGGTGAATTTATCTGGCATTTGAGGCTTACAGACAGGCAATAAGATGAACTTTCCCTGCAGAGGCTTTATGCAGTTGGGGCCCATTCATTCTTGACCAGCAAAGAGGTGGCAGTGGTTCCATAAGGTGAAAGGAAGCTTCACAGTGATGGTTTGTGTGTTCTTCTTGGCAAGTGTAAATAATATCACATTGATGAAAGGGTAAAAATACATGTTCAGACAGGAGGAGGCTCAGCTGCTCTGCCTGGAAAGTCCTTTGTAGCTTTGGGAAATGTTCCTCCAGGCTCTTGGAGTCTCAGCTACCTGCAGCGGAGGAAATGGGATGGTACAGGGATGTTCTCCATGTGAAGTACCACTAGGAGCCTGTCTGGGCTGCTCTGTGTTTGGGATAGACCTCAACTCCAGATCCATTCTGTAGCTTGCTGCATGCAAAAGCAGAACATTTTTATAATTGTGAGTTCATGCTTTATGTGGGGTCAACACCTGTGCTTCAACTTGCTTTCAGATGTGGAAAAGCAACCCTGAAGCTTTACTGTATTAAAAATTGATATCTGAAGAAGGCTGTTCAAATGTTCCTTTATAAGTATACACATATTAAGATTAGTGTTTCCATAACAGTGTTTTTCAAAAATATGTTGTCTTGGTATCTTGAGTAATTACACCAATCTGCATGCAGTTTATTTCTGTTTATCTTCCAGTAAGTTCACCGGATTCTTCCATCACCATCCCATGTCAGTGTTTTGGGTCTAATGTTCTGTGGCTTCAGAATTATCACCCGTATGTATATTCCAAAAGTGCAATTCTACTATAAAGTCATCCTGCAGGGAGCTCTTGAGGCTTTCACAACCTCATTTACACAGCAATAAATTCCCAAATCTCATTCAGCCAGTGTTTTCTCTGTGACTAAATATTTCAGTCACCCATCATAGAGGATAATTTTCTGAAGTTGAAGCTATATGGGAATAACTGTTACAATTAAAGGTATAATAAACTGTTAAACTTGAACAAATGAACTGGTGCTTTTGTGAAAAAAGGCAGTAAGTTGTAAAACCCATTGTTCCTAATTACAGTAATGGGTGTTTCTCCTGCTTGGCCCACATGACTGCTCTGTACAATCCTCAGTGCTGGGACTAAGCTTGGAATGGCAGCTTCCTTTTAATTTATGGACTCCATTAAAGGCACCAAACCTTCAATTAAAAGGGGAATTCCATTGAAAACTCCTATTTCCAAAATAAGGGTTCTTGAATTCTTTTATTCTATTTTCCCAGAATTACACTGAACACATATCACTACATGTCTTCTAAAATGTGCATTGTGTGCAGGAGCAAAGTAATTTCTGAGAACTATTGAGGCAGATTTTGTTTTTTTCATGAAAGAACCAGAAAGTTCTCTGTTTGAAGAGGAAAGGAGTTTGTGTGATTATTGCTAACAGGAGCTCCTTGTTGGAATTGCTGCCAATGCAGACATTTGAATGGTAATTGATCAAAATTAAATAAAACACCCGTGAGAAAGTGATGAGGCTTTTTCTCTTGCTAAAATGCATTAAGCCAATGTAATGGCTGTAGCTTCTAGAATAAACTCACCAAAACTAATGGAAGCGTAGCTCAAAGAGATGTGGTTGCTTTAATTCCAGAACCTGTCTCAATTGTTAGGTAGTCAGTAAATGCTTTTTTATTCAAGGCAGATAATTTATCAGTGTCATGTTTGATCCCATCTTTCTTGGGTAATGGTTCAATGTGTCCTTGGAGCCAAAGCTCTCTGAAATGTTCATAAAGGAAGGAAACACTTGGACTGGAAAATGAAAAGGGTTACTTTTATTTTTGAAATGGGACTTTCCTTTTAAATTCACAAAAACCTAAAGGAGTTGTGTGAGTTTGTGACTTTTAAAACTGAAGAGTCTTTCACAAATTGAGGCTTAAATTCTTCCAAAAAATATGCTAAATATCACAAATAATTTATCACATATATTGCTTTTTCTGTTGGTTTTTCTTTTAATTATTTACTTGTCCTACTCAACACGGTTTTCGAGCTGGTTAATATCAAGACTGCTGGGTATCACAGAATTGTTGAGGTTGGAAAAGACCTTTAAGATCACAGTGTGAACACTGAAAAAGGAGAAGGGGAGAATAATGATTAGTGCAAGATATAGTCTTTGTGATGTATACATCAAATTTAAGCTGAAGGTTAAAATTTAGAAAGTGTTCCTATTTCCACAGTTGCTGCACTGTGCCAACACAAGCTTTGACACAGAATTTACTTATTTTTAGAGCCAAGTCAACAGATCTTGGGCATGCTTTGCTCATCACAGTGTTTTAGCAGTAGCTTTTTATAAAAAAAATTATTTAAACACTTAGTAAAGTGCATTGTGTGAAAATTGTTCAGGTTTTGTTTTGTGTATTTTGGCAATGTAGGATGCTTGCAACCTGCCAAGGTTGTTCAAGAGGTGATGTAGCTGAGGAGGGAAAAGACATCCTTTAGATTTAGCATTTGACCTGGGAAATGGCATAATAACCCATCAGCTCTTCAGGCATCAAAAATGGTGTGAAGATTCCAGCATCCAAGTGTCTCTGAGGAGCTCCATTTCACTGACAAGTTTTCTTTCTTCCATGTGAACAATTTAATATTAACTGAGTATTTTTAAGAAACCTTGGCAACGTGTTCTGCTTGAAAACCATCTTGGAATAACTGTCCTACTTATTAATAAATTCTGATTGTTTTATACCACACTTTTAATCTTGTATTCTTTAGAGAATAATGGTGTATTTTTTAGACCTGCAGGGTACTGTTAATACTTTGTGTTTGGAGCAATCTGAAAAGGTAAGATTTTACAAAATAAATCCAGGAGGGGAGCAGAGCTGTCAGTATCTGATAAACTTGGTGTGCTCTGCTAAAGAAAAGAATGATGTCTGTGTTTTGTTCCTGACTAGTTAGGTTTGGTGTCAAGTCTGTGAGGGGCCTGGAAAAGAGGTTTGCTGGGGTTTTCGTTGCAATGTCTCTAAGTGGAGAAGCTTATGGAAAAACTTCCCATGGCAGCAGATGTTCTCCAGTGAGAATGTCAAAGCTCTGCCATGGATATCCCCTTGGCACTGGATCCCTGCACTGGCTGTCTTTGCTTCAATTCAAATTTTAGAAAGGTGTTTTCTGTAGAGTTCACAAAAGCTGTATTTATTATCAGCACCCAGCTTAAGATTGTCCCCGGAACTTGTCCCCTATCTTTTAGGAGAGTATTTAGCCAGATTACTGTCTTCCATCTGCAGCATTTTCTCGGGCAGGGAATATGGAAAAACTGAACCTCTGGGCTGAGCCTGGGGTCAGTACCCAGGAGATGTTTCAGATCTGCCTTGAACAGGGATTTAAGGCCATGGGTGCCCCTGTGGAGCCCTGTGAGGGATCCTTCCCCCAACACTGACCTGTGGATGGTCACAGGGACAGGGCACAGCCACGTCTCAGCCCTTCCATTTTCCAAGTGCTGGACCCAGCATGTTTAATTCAGGATTTGAGAATACAAAGCTGATGAGGCCTGGTTTTGCTGCTCTTCATTCAAGGAGAGGCCTTCAGAATTTGGATACTTCTATGAGCAAGTTTTCCTTTCCCACCCATTGCTAGAAGCGGAGGAAACCAGTGCCTGGATTCCACTGATCCAGGAACCATAGTAGATCAGAATTCCTTTGGCCACCAGTAAAGCATTTTGCTGATCCAAGTGTCCTCAAGGCCTTCAGCATTCACTAACCCTTCAGATCTCTTCCTCAGTACTGTTTTGTTCAATGATTTTATTCAGGCTGTGCCAGTTTCTCTGGTGTTTGGGATATTTTTTCCTGCCATCTCAAGCTGTAGTTTTATTGTTCACCAGCACTCAGGAATGAGTTGAATCTCCTGACTGTCACTCAGATGTTGGCACTTTGGTTTTGACTGGCATTATACTAAGCCCCTAATAAATTTCCATGCTTGATTCTGTCAAAGCAGCATTGCCTGTGCACAGTGAGGCACAGTTTAAAATGTTATTAATATAACAGCACAAAGAAACTAATCTTTCACTACAACACTTCACTTTGTTCCCTGTGCCTTAATCAAGACCTTCACACTGCTATAAAGCTTGTTTTGGTTTTCAGAGTTCAGGAGAAGATGCCTTGCATTCTCTCTGCTTATATTGGCTTTTATTTTTTGTGAGAGTTTAGTTTTACATTTTCCTGTGATATGTTAGTCTTTAAACTCATTTAATATTATGGTTTACATTGTTGTGTGTCTTGGAATGACTTCTTTAATTTTAAAAAATCTTTGAGGCATGGGGTTATTTTGACATCTTTTCTCCCAAAGCTTTGCCCTGAGCAGTTTAGTCACCTGCAGGAGAGGACAGGGGAAGCATAGTATTCCCTTTATCCTTGTTGCTAACTGCCTGCTCACAGTGCTGTCATTCCCACACTCCAGGAGTTTAAATAGCTTTCTGAGAGTTGGATTGGTTAGTCTCTGCCTTTTCTGGGAAACAAATGTTAAAAATAAGCCCAACACCCCAAAACCACCACATGTTTCTTGTTTCCTTTACAAGGTATTTCTAAACAGTGACTTAAACCTGTTGAATTTAGTCATGCACATGCATCAGAGGGAATAATATTAATTGGTTTAAAAATGTAAAATATTCTAGTGAAGGCAGCAATATCATAATTGTATCATTTATCACAACAGCACTTTGCTCTGCTTTCTCTCTATCTGGTATTCCTGACGTCACCATAATGGAACAATATAGGAAGAAATCTGGCCAGGAGTTTAAATAGCTTTCTGAGAGTTGGATTGGTTAGTCTCTGTCTTTTCTGGGAAACAAATGTTAAAAATAAGCCCAACACCCCAAAACAACCACATGTTTCTTGTTTCCTTTAAAAGTTATTTTTAAACACTGTTATTTAAACCTGTTGAATTTAGTCATGCACATGCATCAGAGGGAATAATATTAATTGGTTTAAAAATGTAAAATTTTATAATGGAAAGCAGTAATATCATAATTGTATCATTTATAATAATATCATTTATCACAACAGCACTTTGCTTTGCTCTTTCTCTCTGGTATTCCTGAAGTCACCATAATGGAACAATATAGGAAGAAATCTGGTTGATTTTTGTGGATTATTTGTGGGAAGTTTGGCTTTTCCTGTGCTTAATGGCTTTCCAGTCTTCTTTCAGAAGATCATGTAGGGAAATATTTGGGCAACTTCATCACAAACCTACGGCAAAGTTGGGATGCTCTCACACTCTGCTGCACAGTCTGGTTTGTAAGCAAACTCTGCATTTGGGAAAACAAATCTTCCTGGCAGAGAGCACGCTGGTATCAGTGTGAGGTAATCCTAAATTTGGGGTTGTCAAAGGTCTGGCTGTCAAATTCTTTGGAACTTCACTTTCCTGAATAGTTCTCTGTGAACTCTCTGGCTGTGTTTGATTTCTGGGGGAAAGAGTTTTAAGGAAAAAAAGAGAGAATTTTGTTCAAAGCCCCCTGTCCCCTGGAGCAACTCCTGCTGGCTGCCCTGTGGTTGGTGTGGCCCAGCTGAGCACTGCACATTGCTTCACAGCAGTGGGGGAATGGCACCTGCCTCTGTGTCCTGTGGTGTCACCTGGATGGATCTGACAGGTAACCTGGGACAGCTCAGAGCAGTGCAATCCTCCAGTGGCACACTGAACATTAAACAGCAGCTGCTGTGGGGGCTGCCCAAGGCACACAGGAACAGCTCTGCTCTGGGGAGGGGATTTGGCAGTGCTGCACATGGCCCGAGAACAGGAGCTGATTAACAGCCCTGCTCTAACTGGGACTCATCTGTGGTTTCGCTGTGCTTGGGTCATGTTTAGTTCTTTGGTAAAGCAAATTGTTAAATGTTTTATCACCAGTTTCATTCTTTT